GATCAAAATATATATTACGAATATAATTAGTAGATCTTGCAATTCAAATTATACCGATTATTGTATTGTTACAGTATTCAAATTATACCGATATTGACAATTCGTTAGTGGAAGATAACTCAAAAATTAACGAAAAATAAGAAAGAGCTTCCTTCCTCAATTAACACCTTTTGACAAACTATTTTGAGATTGTTCTACTAATTTTATGTTGATCGTTCCATCATTTTAATCACATACGCAGTTTTCTAATATTCTTGAAACGGTCTATTTGATTAATTTGATTGGTTTGTAACAAATTGAAATGAGGTTATGTGATTAGTGTATATTTTAACAAAAGTATTATACACAAGCAACTTTCATGCCATGTATTTTTATTGGCAAGGTTGATTCTAGTATTCTAGAGGAGACCCATAAGTTTTTCATCAAAACTCAATTCATTGTTTTGAAACCTTAAAAAAATGAATAACTAATTTTAAAAATATGAAGTATAATTTACATATTATTGAATTTTCTATTTTATTTTTAAATCCACCCATTGTATATCCCCCAGCGCAAGAATTACAATTTATAATAAACGATTTAAGAATATATTGTTGTAAAACCAATTACAATTACTTTTTATTGCAAATGAAAAGGAGCTAAACTCTATGTGAAGAGCCTTAACCCTCACAGACTGAATAAAACTTTGATTCGATTTTTAAAAGGATAGAGACCTTAAGAAGGGAGTCTTAACCCTCACAGACTAAATAAAACTACGAATCGATTCTTTAGAGAAGCTAGACCCTAAGATTGGAGTCTTAACCCAAACACAATGAATAAATGACGATTCGATTCAGTTCGACTATAAAAACTTTTTGCTCGTATATATATTGTTGCAAACAAAACAAAAATTTAATTTTGACTTGGCTTTTAGTGAAAATTACTATAACAATCCTGGTTTGGTTCCTAAAATCATAAAATAAAATGTTATTATCAAATACTCGTTTTATATTAACGACCTTTTTTTGTTTGGAACGTATAGATATACCATTTTTAGTTATCAAATTAAAAACTTTTAAACATTAATATGTGAGGTTAAGCAATCATATATTTAAGCAAAACGTATTTTAATTTAAATGTGCGAAAAACATTTAAATTAAATGTTTTAGCAAATTAAGAAAAGTTAGAACCTAAGAAGGGAGCCTTAACCCTCACACACTAAATAAAACTACGGTTCAATTTTTAAGAGAAGTTAGACCCTAAAAAGGGATCATTAACCCTCATATATTGAATAAAACTACGGTTCAATTCAGTTCGGGTGTAGAAAATTTTGATTTGGTTTTTTAATTAATTTTTGGGTGCTTGGTTTATTTTGGTGTATGTTTTTGTGTTCACGTAGGGTCTTCTAGGTAAACTTTAGAACTTTACAGCTAGCCCAAAGAAACAAAGAATAATTCAAAGTCAGCATAATAGTTTAAACTCTACCACCATCCGTAATAATTCTAAATGTGTCCAAAATTTGACTAAATGTTTCATGGAAAATCAC